GGCACTTAACAACAACAACAATCTCAACTTCAGCAGTTCAAAACTACCAGCTGTTCCACAGGAGAAAGCTGAGGGTTGCTGTGAGTCGGAACCGACTCCATGGCAAATAACCACCACCACCACCACCACCACATAGGCTTATATAGTGTAAATATTGGCTTTTATAAATATTTCTATTCCCATATATATTTTTCTCTTTCTACTTCCTTTCCCAACCCTGGTGACCACTAATAAACTGTACATGACTCAGTAGTGACCCAGTGTATGTAAAAGTAGAACTGTGCTCTGTAGAGTTTTCAAGGGCTAATTTTTCAGAAATAGATCAACCTAGCCTTTCTTTCAAGATGCTTTTGGGAGAACGGGAACCTCCAACCTGAATAAATGAGATCATATGATACTTGTCCTTTTGCGACTAATTTATTTCACCTAACATTATAGCTAGATGATTTGAAATGTGTAATTAAGTGTATCTTGGTGTGGTTCTGTAGGATAAGCACGTGATTTCAAGGTCGGTGTGAACTGCAAGATCAAAGGTTCAAACTCACCAACCACTCTTCAGAAACCCTATACAGGGTTGCTAATGAATTGGAACCGACTCAACTGCACTTAGCAACAACAGCAGCAAAAATCCCAAATAAATTCCTAATGAATTACTTTAGAGTAGTTAAGTAATGTGCATAGCTAATAACATACTCATTTTATTTCATTAGTCAAATGTAACAAGTGCTGGAAGTATATGGTGAAGACTTCAGAAGAGGCCCTCTCCTTTGGATCTTAGACTACAGCAGGTAAGATGTACCCTAAATAAGCAATACTTCTAATTGGAGACTTGGTATGGCACAATAGCATAAGCACTGAACTGCTAACTGAATGATTGGTGGTTCAAACACACCAGCCACTTCTTGGAAACCATCTGTAGTTATTGTAAAATAGGGAGCTGGGGAAACATTTACCTCTACCAAACAGCCTAAGATAATCAAGTAAAAACTGGCTAAACAAGTATGGGTGGGAATTAGGCAGCACCAGTTCATGTGTGACAAGATGGTTGACGAGTAAGAGTACAGTGATTTCATGAGAGAGAAGCATACACAGAATGGACTGGAGACCAAAAGAAATTTTAGCAGTTTAATAAGAGTGAGAATTTATTATGGTTGAATCATGAAATGGCAGAGCTGGAGATAGCAAGAGATAAAAATGTAGGGAAAACCAGGAACCAAATTAAATTGCAGTTACTGTTAATGAGCTAATTTAGGGGGAGGTTTCAGGATGGTTTATTTCAGTTCTACTCTCTCATATTGATTGCTAGTGAGCTTGCTACAAAGGTGAAGTCTTCAGGTTTTTTTTTTAAAAGGACTTTTAGTTACAAGAGCAAAATTTTGTTGGATGAACCTTTTTGGACACAGCTTCCTTGTTTTAATTCACCTTTGTAAATTCCAAAGCAATTAAACATTATTCATTCTAATTAATATGTATCACATGCTTTAAAACTATTCCCTTGGCAGTTAAAAAGCATGTTTATTTATTTTTTGCATGATTGTTTTGAGATATTTTTAAATGTTACTTTTTAAAATTTCTTCAAGCTGTTCATTTCACATTGGGTCTTTTTTTTTTTTTTTTAAGTATTTTATTGTTTTTGGGTGCCATCAAAGTTGGTTCTGACTCATAGCGACCCTGTATAGGGTTTCCAAGGAGAAGTTGGTGATTTTGAACCACTAACTTTGTGGTCCAGTGCTTTTATCTCAGAGTGCTGCACAAATGTTGTTGTTTGTTTTTTTTTTTTTAAAGAGTGACTTGTGTTGTTATTAGCTGCCAACGAGTTGGTTCCAATTTATAGTGATCCTATGCTCAAAAGAACAAAACTCTGCCCAGTCCTCACATTTATTGTTAATTTGAGTCCATTGTTTCTGTCTGTCTTATTGGGGGTCTTCCTCTTTATACTGACTTTCTACTTTTCCAAGCATGATGTCCTTTCTTCAGGGTCTGGTCCCTTCTGACAACATGTCCAAAGGATGTGAGGCAAAAATCTGTCTATCACTTCTAAGAAGCATTAGGACCGTGCTTCTTCCAAGACAAATTTGTTCTTCTAGCTGTTTGCCAATACCATAATTCAATGGAGTGATTGATTCTTCTACTGTCTTCCTTATTCATTGTCTGAGTTACACATAAATATGAGGCAGTTGATAACTTTTAATGGAAATGGAAGGAAATTATTCAGAGTCAAACTACCCTTTGTCTTTATTTTAACTTATAGCCATACAGATAGAAATGCCCCAGACCTCATATGTGTTACTGGAGATCTTCATGTTGTAGAACAGGGTGGTGTATATGGCCAAGGGCCAAATCCAGCAACATTTGGATTTATGAATTTATGCTCATTCCTTTATGTATTGTTTATGGTTTCTTTTACACTTTATTGGCAGAGTGAATAGTTGTGACAGATGATAGGGCCCATGAAGCCTAAAATAGCTACTATCTGATCTTTTAAAGACAAAATTTGCTACCTCTAAGCTGAGAAGACTTCAAAAATCCATGAGAAAAATGGAATGAAAGTTTTTTAGGAACTTTCTGAATCCCCTTTGTGTATTGATACTTTATTAAGAGATGAGTAAAATTATAAGCTGCTTTCTATCATCCTCTTTTGCCTACTCTAGAGCACGTATTCACTTTATAACAGTAGCAGACCTTACTGCTTGTTTTGCTTGTTCATTACATAGATTTTATAATTAGCAAAGATACCCACATAAGGTCTAGCTATGATTCATGTTTTAAAGCCAGATCTCATTCTTTTAACCTCTTAGGAATAGTAGCAGAGATGTTACAATTATTTGAAAATGAATTTTAGGCATTTTTTGAAGTCATTTTCTGACAATCTCTCTAATACTGACATACATTGTAACTAAAGATTTTTATCACAAAGCAGGTGCTTGTTGAAGACCACTTAGCCAGAACACTACTACCTAGGAAGTGATTGATAGATCCTGGTATAAATCTCCAAGGAGCAAGCAGGTAGAACGACATGGATCAGCAACTAAAGAAAAGACCAAGGAAGAGTTCCCATAAAGGAATGGGTGAAAAGGCCCATACCGGGACTAAGCCAAGCCAAGTTAAGCAATGCCAAGTGCAGAAGGCAAAGAAATCTGCTAATACACCACGGGCCTTACACAATAATAATGTGCACTATAAGACTAACCTTCAGAATGTTAGAGAGGAGGAGTCCTTCCCTAACTGTTACTTAGAATGCGTAATAAGAGGTGAATTTTCTGAACCTGTCCTAGAAAGGGACTTACTTTTTAAATCTTGGGAATATCTAAGAGAAGAGTCAGAGCAAGAGCTTGCTCAAAAGGTTCTTGCAGATAAACCACTGCTTGAATGTTCTTTAGGATACATGGAAAAGGGGGCAAAACAAAAATTTCCTCAAAACGTTACTATAGAGGATCCCCTGAAGTATTATTCTGAGTACATGATCGGCAAGAAGCTTCCTCCTGGAGGAATACCTGGTATTGATTTAACAGATCCTAAACAGCTGTCAGAGTTTACTAGGAAGAAGTCTAAAATGAATAAAGCATGTAACCCAGAAATAATTGCCTGTCCTCAGAGTGGATGCACAAGAAAGTTTAGGGATAAATCTGCCTTGAGAAAGCATTTCCTAGTTCATGGTCCACGAGACCATGTATGTGCAGAATGTGGGAAAGCTTTCTTTGAGAAGTCAAAATTAAAACGTCATTTTCTGGTTCACTCTGGAGAGAAGCCGTACCAGTGCACATTTGAAGGGTGCGGAAAGCGCTTTTCCCTGGACTTCAATTTGCGTACGCATGTCCAAATCCACACTGGGGAGAAACGTTTTTTGTGCCCCTTTCAAGGTTGCAACAAGAAGTGTATTCAGTCAACTAACCTGAAAGCTCACATCTTAACTCATGCGAAGACCCAAAAAAAGAATCAATGAAAAAGAAGATATTCCTCAAACAGGATAAACCTGTTAAGACAAGAGTGATTGAGAGTAAATTAAATACACCTCTTGATTATTGTTTTTAAAGATAATTTTTAAAATTAAATATGCATAAAGGCCATAACTTTAGTTTCCAACTGTCTAACTCTTGTGCCTTTTAATGCCACAGTACTAGAGATTGAAAATTTTGCTTAGATTGTCAATAAATGAGTGAATAGTTATCTATTTCAAAAAAGTATATAAGATTTTAAGATTTTGATTCTTTTTTATGATTGTATCAAACCCATGTTGAAATCATTTAGGTGTGAGTTTGGTATATTATCCGGTTCAATCATTTTAGATTTTTGAAGTTAATGTTCTAAAATATGCTAAATCTGTAGGAAAAAAAACTAAGAAAACTATGAAGATATCATTTAGTTGCCTATGTAACTAGCAAAAGAGAAAATGTGCAATGTGTACTTAGAGGAACAAAAGAGAAGACCAAAGATAAGGGAAAGTCATAAAATATGAGGAAGCTTTCTTTTTCCATTGGTAGAATGGTGTATTTATATTCTGTGGGAGAGAATTCAGAGAAAGCAGTTACATATCTTTAATTCATTTACTACCTTTTTGGGAATAGCAGCAACACAATAAACATGCATATTAATTTAAAAATCAATCCTGATTTTTTAAATGCTAGAATATAAAAAGCAAGAATGTATTAATATCAAGGGGGGGAAATCTCACTTTTTCACTTCAGCATGAGTAAACTGTTGCTATAAACTATTCTGGAAATGTATTAATGGCATTTATATTATCATTTCTATAGGAATGTAGGTCCTAAGTCTCAAGTCTAACATAAAAAGAATGGTGGGTACAGAACCCATTTTACAGTTTGGAACTTCCTATAAACCAAACATTCAAATATAAAGTTTAGGATGAACTGTTGTATTTGAGAATAATAAAATCCATTTGTCCAGGATTTGCTTTTGCCTCACTTTATCTGATTGACCCTGTGGATTTCTCCTTTGGAGATGAATTGGGACGGCATCTGAAGCTTAAAGAAGACATTAAACTAGAGTAACCACAGTAGAATTTGTGACTACAAGCTTGATCCCTGAAATCAGACTTGGCAGCCATGACTGGAGATTAGTTTGCTTTTTTTAGATTACCTTTTGGAGCTCAAAAGCTCATTTTCAAGAATTCAAAGCTATATTTACAATACAAACAATATTAATCCTATTGTTGCTAAATGCTGTTGAGTTGATTCTAACTCATAGCCACCCAGTTGGGGTTTCTGAGAAGCGACTGGTTAGCATGAACCGCAGGCATGGTCCAATGTGTCTCCTACAACGCCACACCAGGACTCCATCTTAATCTTATCCAAACCCAAATCCATTGCCATTAAGTTGGTTCAGATTCAAAGCAGATAGCAGCCCTATAGGATCGAGAACTCCTCCATAGTGTCTTCATAGCTATAATCTTTACTTAAGTAGACTGTTGCTTCTCCCATGGAGCAGTAAGTGCCATTGAGCCAGTTCCAACTCATAGCAACCT